ACGGCTGCAGTAGAAGCAACGAGACACAAGTCACTGTACAAGGCGTACTGAGCAGTCCGCCATCGAGCACCGACGCCTTGGGGACGTCCCGTCGGCGACAAGATTGTAAGACACTACAGGCTTCGAAGAGGTAGGTACCGAGGAGGTCCATCGCGCTGAGTACGTTCCACACCGACCGTGCAAGCCGTTCTCAGAGAGCCTTGCGAGGTTGTCTAGAATTCCTAGAACATACTTGGCGGGGTGGGGGAGTGGAGCAGTAATAATATCGTTGGCCGAAGCCTCGTTGGCCGAAGCCTCGGTGGCCGCAGCCTCGGTGGCCGAAGCCTTATCCGGCTTATTATTAATTGTACAGTGAAGCCTCACATCACAGTGCACGGGCCGCTAAATGTTGATGTGTGTGGGGATTGGGTGGTTGTTGGGTGAGGGGCGCAAGGGAGGGCAGGGGCAAAAGTGGGGCATGGGGAGGAGATGGTGGGGGATGGTTCGTGCTCGCAAGGAGGGGGGGGGGGGGGTTATTTGGTGAGGTGGTGGCAGCCAAACTGCTGGATCGTGTCTGCACGGCGGAGGTTGGCGGCATATTCCATGGCAGGAGTGTGTGAAGGGGGTCGGGTATCATAGTAAACTGTGCCATCAGGGAGGGCGATCGTGGGGATTGTGGTTCCACTGGCGCTGTTGTGGATGGATTGGTGGCGTTTGGCGGGGGGAGCGGTGGCAGCATCTGCATAGGTGAGAACGGGCAGTGGTGCAGGTCCCAGGGCGGGAGGGGGGTTGTCTCATTTCCGCTTCAAAGTGGTAGCGAGGGGGCGTGTGGCTGTTGACCGGCAGTGTTCGAGATGATCCCAAAGTTGTGCTCTGGAAGAGAAGCGTTGCACGCAGTTGGTACACCAGAGTGGGCAGCCGGCGGTGAAGTTGGGGCCGCGGGGTCGGTGTTGGGGGCTCTGAGGGAAGGTCGGCTGGAATGGCGCAGCTCCAGGGTTGAGAGTTGAAGAGGCAGCCAGATGGCGCCAATCAGGTGGCAACTGCGTCTGCAGGTTGGACTGCGAGGAGCATTCAGTGGACGTGGACGGTTCAGGCGCTGCGGCACGAGGAGGTGGCTCGCAAAGGAATGGAGTAGCGTGTCCAGCAGTAGGAGATGAGCAGTTGACAGCAAGGGCGGTGGTGGTTGGTGCATCAGCTGGTTGCTGTGGCTGGCGGCCAGCAGCAGGAGGCAGGATGGAGCTCGTGTGGTTGTCGCTGCACTGGTTGAAGGATGGATTGGAGGCGCCGGGAGCGATGGTGCTGGCGGAGAGAGCGGCAGGGGCTGACGGTGGTGGCAAGTTCGTGGTGGGAGCTGGCAGCGAGCCCGGCTGGCTCCCGCCCAGAGCTGCCAAACCTGCGGGTTGTTGAACTGGCGTTTGTGGCGTGTGCGCAGGCCATGCGGCGGGCATGTCGGCCGGGACTGCGGGGCCGACGGCAGCGGAGGGAGTCTCTGGGGATGGCTCAGAAGAAGGCTGGGCAGGCCCACTGTCGGCTGGTTGCTCGGGCGAGGCCACCGCGTGCATGCCAGGCCGCGCGCACGCGCAAAGTACGGCCGTCCCTTGTCTCGTGTCAGTGAGTGTCTTGTCTTGTGGTTCTGTGTGTCGCTCCTGTGTGACCGTCATCGCCCGTCTTGCGTCCACCCATACCGCGTTGGTGTCCCAGTCGTTGGTCGGACTGTGTTTCGCCTTCCTATGTTCCTATCTATCTATCTGTCTGTCAGTGAGCTTTGAGAGTGGCTGTATTTTATATATGTCAGAACTCCCACACATTACAAACCGGGAGAACAGAGAGAGAGTTTTGTTGTTTTGGAGAACAGCGGGGATGGATGCAAGAGATGCTAGGATTGCGGATTGGCAGGGTCCGACCAAACCAACAGGGCTCCAGGCCCCAAATTACGTGTGAGTGTTAGAGTGGTTTGGTATTGCTAAAAATCTCTCTCTCTCTCAGGGTCCGCAATGTGGTCGAGGGTCTTCAGGAATGCTTCACAATCTGAGCTCCTCCTTGCTGGGTCAAGGCGCCGAAACTATCCTTCTCGAATACTGAAGCCTTGAACTCGATTGCTGCAGCTTCCCGGAAGACAGCTTCTGACATGGTCCTGCCAAAGGTGGCGTTGAAGAAAGCCCACGAGGCGTTCTCCCAAACTCGGTCACTGGCACCTTTCGCCCCTTTCCATGATAGAGCTGGACCGTCTCCCAAAGGTCTATCGCGGAGAGACCAAAGTAGAGTGGTGGCGGCGGCGGGAATGGCGTGGTAGAGGCTGCTGCCTCTCCACAAGTGAGGCGGCAACCTGGCGGCGGAGATAGCATCGTAGAGGTTGCCGCCTCCCCACAGGTGATGTTGCCGAGGGCTTCCCTGAGGAGGGCTATCGCCTCCTCCGGCAGTATGCCCTTGGCGATCGCATCAGCAGCCGCAGCCGCAGCCTTCCCAAAAGGAGGCGGACAGCTATGGAGGTCACCGAATGGAGGGCGAACGGCACGATACGAAAAGGCAGGGCGAGGCGGATGGAGAAAGAAGTGCCGAGAAGGCCATGGTGGAGGGGAGGGACGGGAGGACGAAAGAAGGGCGAGGAGGACGAGCGGCCCGCACAGACCGCGAGCAGGCGCTCGTACCTCAGCTCCATCCCCTTGGGCACCTCCCTGCGCCAGCGCCGCACTCCGCATGCCCACGGGGGGAGGGTCCGCGTCGGACCTCCGCGGGCTCGAGCTTCATCTCCTGGTCCCAGATTGTCCTTCTGGGCGCAGCGCCCCGACCAGACGGGGGGGACCATTGGGGGGTTGCACACCATGCCCGGCACGCCGTCCAAGGGGCCCTTTTCCCCCATTGGGGATGACTCGCCGCCTGACTCGCCACGCCCGGGGGCTCGGCAGCCGGGGTTTTCGACGCCCCCCCCCCCCCCCCCTCTAGGGCCGCGCCTCCTAACACGCGTGCGGGTGTTCTCACGCATAGGCGCTGCGTCAGTGTTGACCACGGCGACGAAGACATGGAGGCGGCCAATGGCGACCTCGGCCTCGATTGACCGTTCTCGAAAGCCTCCTCCTCTTGCACGCATCATGTCCCGCCTTCTTCTCCACACTCTTGTGGCCTGCGCCTCCGCCGTGCTCCCCATCGCTGCCGCGCGCGCCCGGCCGCGCCGTGCTGCTCCTAGGCGTGCTCATGTGCGGTCCCGCTGCCCACGAGCAGGTGCGGGCGGAGCTGCAGGGGCTCACGGGGATGGCGCCGCTCAAGGCACCTCACGCAGCTGGAGGCCAAGGTGGAGTACGTGGCACGCGGCGGCGACCCACGCCTGCTCCGTGATGGCGGCGGACATGGCCATTCGTACGAGCGCTGGCTCGCGACCAAGTCGACGAGCCCGATGACGGGCGAGGCGCTCGTGCACAGCTTCCTCGCCCCCAACCACACGCTGCGCCGGATGATCCGGGAGTGGCAGCAGGCGCGGGCTTGCAAAAGTGCTCTCTACGGCTTATGAGTAGAGTGAGTACTGTCGTGTGTCTCGGCTCTCGCGACTTCTGTGTAAGGACCACATAAAAGATTGATTCTCGCCCCTGTAACTATTGGTATTGATTATTGACAGCATCCCCTCTAACTATTGACAATATATTGATGTATTGATCACTCTCAAGCTGTTTGTTGGACTGTTTTTTTCGCGGGTTTTTTGTCCGACCCCGCACGACAGTTGCGAGCATGACAGGCCTCAATCTGAATCTCCTTCAAGCACTGTGGCGTCAGGCCAGGCTGCGGCGGCTGGGCCGGCGAGGCGTCGGCTGCCGGCTGGTTGCGCCCGGGATGGTTAGCAGCGCTCGCCGAAGGGCAAAAATCAGGAGAAAAAAAGTAATATAGTGTGCTCACGTCCAGCAGTCCGTCGAACGTACAACGAACGGCCGGGACCACGGGAGCAGCCCTAGCCCCTCTAACTATTGCAATATATATTGATATTGATCGCATCTCTAACTATTGGAGTTTTGGAGCAATATATTCAATATTTTATGTGGTCCTTACTTCTGTGACTGTGTATAAATCAGTGTGAACACATATAGTATCGAGATGCGCACATGGCCACATGCGCACACACATAAAGCCGTACGGCGTTGATACGGCTTTGCACACGGTAGGTATGGCTACCCGGAATTACAACTTTAGATAGCAGTTGGGTCGAAGAGGGCGGCGTCCTTACCAAAGCAGCCAGAAAAGTCGACCCCCTGTACAGCCGCCTCTCGGAAGTCGACGCCGGCGATGTGCGCCTCCTTGAAGGAGGCGCCGGTCAGGTCCGCCTTCATGATGCACGGTGGTGCAGTGAACCGGCGATATTCAACGGTTGAGAACGCGTGAATAGCCGGCCTCGACATCCCGCGCACGTCCACCTCTAATTTGTGTGGTTCGTTCTCTCGCAGAGTCGTGTGATCTGAATTGTGCGTGCGTGCGTGCGTGCGTGCGTGCGTGCGTGCGTGCGTGCGTGCGTGCGTGCGTGCGTGCGTGCGTGCGTGCGTGCGTTTGCTCTTGCGCGTGTATGCATGTGCCTTGATGAAGCTCGCGCCCTCAACCTTGGCCGACGTGAAGTCCGCCCCCCGCAGATCCGCGCGCGTAAAGTCGGCGTTGCGCACGTCGGCGCGCAGGAGCTGGGCCCCCTTGAAGGCCTGGGTGGGGACGAGTCGAGGAGGGCTCAGTAGCGGGGGGGCGCCCCTGGCGTCTAGCGGGCCGCTCTTGTCTCCGCGTCGCGGAAGCTCGAGTCGACGAGGGAGGCGCCGACCAAGTTGGCGCCGGCGAAGCTCGCCAGCTGTGGAGGGGGAGAGATGGGGAGATATGGGGAGATGTGGCGAGATGTGCGCCGGCGAAGCTCGCCAG